TCTACCATTTTGACTTTTTTTTCAATACCAGAAATTGAACTCAGGACCTTGTGCTTGACAGGCAGGTGCTTATGCCTGCCGAGCTATATCCCTAGCCCTTCTCCCTTTTTGTAGGCTCTTTGCTCTGGTGATTGTTATATTTGTTCTGCAAATGCTTTTTAATTTGATATAATTCTATTTTTAAATTGTTTCTTTGAGTTCCTGACTTATTTGAGTCCTTTTCAAGAAATTGTTGCCTGTGCCCAAATCTCGAAGTGTTTTCCTTATATTTTTCTATAATAGTTGAAGAGTTTAAAGTTTTATGTTTAAGTCTTTGATTTTGAATTTGTTTTTGTGCAAGGCCAGAAATAGTGATCTTGTTTCAATCTTTCTCATATGGAGATCCAGTTTCCCCAACATGATTTCTCACAGACTGTCTTTTCTCTAACATACATTTTTGGCTCCTTTGCTCAGAATCAGAAGGTTGTGGTTGTGTAGGTTTGTTTCTCTGTCCTGTGGTCTGTTCCATGGGTCTGGGGTCATGCTGTTTTTATTGCCATGGCTTCTAGTATAATTTGAGATTGTGTATTGTGATACCTCCAAACTCATCCTTTTTGTTTAGGAATGAGTTGGTTATTCTGGGTCTTTAGTGATTCTGTATGAATTGTAGAATTATTTTTTTCTAGTTTTCTGCAGGATGTCATTGGAAGTTTTTAAATTTTGTTTTAAAGAGTGTCACTGAAATTTTGATGAGAGGTATATTGAATCTGTAGATCACTTGGTAATATGACTATTTTAGTTATTAGTTCTGATGATCTATGAACAGCTTTTGATTTTTAAAATTAATTTGTTTCTGTGAATATATATGTATATATACATATACATATTTTTCAATGACTAAATAAGCACTTCATCAGTTTCACAAAGTAAGAATGTCTCCTCATGGACCCGGAAAGTATGCATTTGAAATAAAATTATAAAGGAAAAATAACACAGGATCTCCCAGTTTCATGGGATGAGATGTGTCCCCCCTCTACTGTCACCTGACTCCACATTACAAAGTTTGCTCACTGTGCTGTGTGCTTTCTTTCTGCCTTGCAATCCCTTTAGCTGGTTACCTGTGATGCACACCGCATTCCTGTTTAATGGTTATTTGATACAATTTTCTTTCAGCTTTCATGGCTCGAGCTCTTTCTGGGACGGAGGGGGCTTTGTTTTTAGTTCTGTTTCTTTCAGCGGTGTAAAGAAATTCACGTGCGTGCAGACAAAGGAATCTTCACAGGCTCCACAATGCACACTCACATCCATGCATGCATACACGCGTGTGCACACCGCGTCACCTTCCCCTTCTTGGACAGGAATCTGTGCTTCTCAGGTCATGAGCCAGAGGAGCAGCCTGGGACACATCAGCCCAAAAGGCAGGGGCCACATGCCTGGCCTTGAAGCACTCTCTTTGTCCCTCAACTCTTGGTACTGGAGAAGGGGCTTGCAGGTGCTCCAACACAGAGTTGTCCCCTATCTTTTATTAGCCCTGCCCTAAACAAGCTCCTCCTTGTCCTGCTTCTCCTGCGGGTTTCTTTTTCCTGCGGTTCCCGCATTTTTCCTTTATTTGGTGTTTCAATCTTTTCAACCCAACCAAGGAAAAAGTGAGACCAGAACAGCATTAACAACGAAACCCGAATAAAATTTGAGCACTGTTTCCCTTTGCAATCCTGCAAAACACTGGGTGCTCCTTTTGATCGGCTCACTCATTCATCAAATATGTATACATTTCATTCAACAACAAAGGGCAGGCCGGGATGGGCGTGTCCCTTCCGCCGGGACGGGGGTGGGGCTGGGAAAGCGGATTTCACCCCACGCGGTCCCGTGGGCTGCAAGCCAGCGCACCTGCCCTAGTTTCAGGATCTCCTCCGAGCCTGATACTTGTTGGGCACAACCTGTGTATATACCTTGGGGTGTGGCCCTGTCACAGGATTCCTCAGGGAGCCCTTGTCCAGCCCGCCCCCTCCCTAGTAATGTAGCTGGGCCCTTCCGGAAAGTACTTGGTTCAGGATCTTTCAATTTGAGGTTCGCAGCTGGGGCCTTGCCATGCCTCATGGGCAGGGTTCCTCTCCTGTCAAACCCTGGTGTGGCAGGAGCCGTGGGGTGCGAGGCTGATCCCACACCACGCTGAGCAGGCAGGAGGACCCCTTTCCTGACTCCCCAGTGGGTGCTTTCTCTTATCTCAGGTAGGGCTTGAGTCAGGGGGGTAAGGGCAGTCGCCATCCATGGGCCCCGAATCTCTCCTGGCTGACTTCAGGGCGATGACTTGACACTCAAAAGAAAAACAAGCTGTGGGTTCACCAAACTGACATTTTCTGTGTCCCCACTTTTCCATCTATGAAATGGGGTGTTATAACTTTCTAGGCACTGGAAACTGGCTATATACAGTGAAGCAATAGACACACACGATCTGACAGCAGAGGTTTTTACCATATATAATAATACTTAATAGCTTTTTTAGAACTGGAGCTATGTTTTTTTCACCGGGGAGCGTAGTTTATAGTTTTGGAAAAAACACATGACATCCCATATTATAATGAAGTGTTCAATCTTGTCCGTGTGTGTGTGTGTGTGTGTGTGTGTGTGTGTGTGTGTGCGCGCGCATGCGCGCGCGCGCGCATGTCTCCCCTGTTTACCATCAGCTTTGTGGATGGTGTAGGGGAGCTAATTTCCATTTTCCTGTGTGCTAGTTTGGAAAACGTCTTACTGCAAGGTCAGGCTTCAGAAAGTACTGTTGGTGTTTAACTGTGGCTGTTCCACCAGCTGCACATTCATGGCACACAAAGGATGCGTGGGGGCAATACAGTTTCGTGGGTTGGTGAAGCAAATGGGAGGGCTGTTTCTGAAACTCGACTTTGGGTGCTTGCTTTCTGTGTTACTGAGTGAATAGTACAGAACCTTACAATATAGTGTAGAAAGCACTGGACTGAGTTGGAATCTATAAATTCTCAAATCTTATTACTCACCCAAGCTATTTGGGGTAAGTGACTTCCCATTCTTAGCTGTCAGCTTTCTCAACTAACAGCAAAGTACCAGAGGGGGGCTTTTTCAGACTCATCTCCTGATTCTCAGAGAACTAATGGAGACACTACTACAGTTTTCTCTGTCATGATCACAGCCCCTTACTTGTCATTCCATTCCCATGGCAACGGCCTGTTTGAGCTCCACTTGTCTCTAATTCTTTAGCAGCTGCTTCAGGTGGGAGGTTCCAGGGCTTTGTTGTCCAGGCAGAGCACTGGCTAAATATGTTCCTTCTTTTACAGCTTCTGAGCTTAAAGTTCTTTGTTCACCGCAGTGAGCTCACTGTAAATAGGGTACTGTGTATGGTGTCAAAAAAGGTATTACAGATGTATTTATTATATACAGAACAAACTATAAGCTTGGCCTCGCTAGATAGATATGATACTACTGCAGACCCCTTTCCTGTCTCTGGTCCATAATTTCCTCATCTGTGCAATTACAATGGCTGGAATTGTACTCCCCAATTCATACGTGCAGGTCTACCCTCCAGGACTTCAGGGTATCACCCTATTAGGAAATAGTGTTGTTAGTGTAATTAGTTATAAAGGCATAAAGAAGTAGGGTGCCTCCCCAATGCAATGTGACAGATGCCCTTATGAGAAGGAGAAATCTGGACAGACACAGCTGTAGGAATGCTAAAGGGTGCCAGCTAGCACCTAGAAGCTGAGGGAGGGAGGGAGGGAGGGAGGCATGGAACACAGACTTCCCCTCAAAGCCCTAAGAAAGAGCTCACCTTAGTCTCACATATCTAGCGTCCAAACTGAAAGATGACTGCTATTGTTTAACACCACACAGTTTCTGATGCTTTTTAAAAAATGACAACCTCCAGCAGTGGTTCCCACTAACAAGAACCCTTGTGGACAGTGGTAACTCATTTAACAAATATTTACTCAGTACTTGCTGTATGCCAGGCCCTATTCTATGCATTGCGAATACATAATCATCCCCCTTTTGTTCGTTCCATATTTTAAAAGATCTACTCAGTATTCTGTGGCTTATTTTAGTTCACTAGTAATTTGTACATTTTCTCGAGTGAACCAAGATTAGCTCATCAGTGTGATATAATTAGCTCTCCAAATCAAAAAAAGGTGGTATTTTAAGTAGCTTTTTATGTTCTATAGCAAACAAATACATTTGTTAGGTTTTAAAATATATTGCAATTGTTCTCAGAACTTCCATGAATATTTGTGGATCTCTAGGAGTTTAAGGACCTAACTGTAGGGTGGTTAGCAGGAATAGGGGTTTGCAAACTTCTTATGTAAAGAGCCAGATAGTAACTATTTTAGGATTTCTAGAACATATGATCTGTGCCACAACTACTTAACACAGCAGTCGTAAACAATACTAATGAATGAGCATGGCTCAGTTCTGTTATGAGCTTATTTTAAGCACCGAAATTTGAATTTCATAATTTTCATGTTTTGTGGAAAATCATTCTGAGTTTTTTTAACCACTGAAAAATGGAAAGCCAATTTTTAGCTCAAGGCTTGTAGACCAAAGGTGGTAGGGTGTATGTATTGATTGGCTGATCCGTTTGCCAAACCTCAAGCTAGAACCTCTTTCAAGTTTTAGTAAGGGCGATTCTTTTCTACTTAAAAGATTTCAATGAGGGCCAGACATTTAGCTCAGTGACAGAAGCACCTTCTTGGCAAGTGTAAGGTCCTGAGTTTAATCTCTGGTACCAAAAAGGGGGAGGGGGGAAGAAGAAGAAAAGATTTCGAAGAGGCCCAGAGGATTATTAAGTTTTAACTAAAACCCGGGCTTGTTTGTATTCAGTATTCAGTGCCCTACCTCTCTACCACCCTAAGTTGCTGGTTTAGTTATGGTATCAGATTCGATCTTTGTATTCCTGTGGTGCAGAAAATAGCTGTACGGTCCGGGGCCCTTTCCAGACCTTGACCATGTAAGGGATGTACTCTTATTAGCAGCCAGCAGCAACCTAATTTTGTCAAGCGTGACCCCGGGCTCACTCGCCCTTCTCCTTTATACCTCTCTCCGGTTGCTTGTGCTGGAGACCCATCTGTCCTTACTATTTGAGTTCCTTTTGTCTCATTGGTGGCTTTTTGAGCAGCTGCATGGTATGTTTCTAACTTTAAGTGGAAGTCAGGGTCACTTGCTACTGGCTGGGACCAGACTCTTAGCAAGGGCTCTCTCAACTGGCAGATCTCTTGGTTGTATGGGCTTGGGTGAGTGGTAAACTAACTCCTCCCGCTTCCCGCAGCTAGACTTCCACCGCGGGAAGTCATTAAGGAGGCGCTTGCACCAGGGTTGGTGAAATAATGTGCATTGCATGTGTTCTTGTTGTGAGAAACTGCTCGGTTGCCTAGCACCGCAGCCATCTGCCTGGCCCTCCTTCCCCACAGCTACTCTGCACCCGCCACCTGACTTCCAAAGCTCCGCGACTGGGACTGAGACTGAGACCAGAGGCGCTACGTGCAGCTCAGGGGGCGGCAACGCCACCGCCCGCCAGGGAGGACTATGCTGCGCGGAAAGGCCCGCCTCAACGTGGAGTGGCTGGGCCACTCGCCCGGACTGATCCTGGAGCAGAAGCCCCTCCCGCCTGCGCGCATGCCGCGCAGCCACCGCCGGTAAGTCACATGAGCACGCACGCCACGTCCGCGCCTGCGCGCGCCTCCGCTCTGTGTCACCGCGCCGCGCCGCGCCGCGCCTGCGCGTTTCAGCCCGCCGCCGGCAGCCCAGGGTGACAGTATAGGGGCTGGTCTGTATCTGTGCCTGAAATAGGGGTCGTTGAACCCAACTCTCCGTTACAACCGAGTGCCTGCGGCTGGCACGGCGACGCCATGGAGCGGCTCGATAAAACAGCGTTGAACGCGCTGCAGCCACCCGAGTTCAGGTAGCCCTGAGCTGGGCCCGGTGCGGGGCTTGAGGAAGGCCCCCCTCCCAGAACAGGGTGAACTAGGGACCTGAGTCCTCAGGGACTGGCTGCGAGGTAGGGGACAGAGGAAGCAGCTTGGAACTGCAGGGTCTGTACTTCCGGACCCGGCCTATCACTGCCTTGGGAGCGAGAGATCCAGGCTCATGGGGCTAGGTCAGCGGGCCTTCAGCTCAAGCTTCTGCCCCAGCACTTCTCTCGTTGTGTTCTATATTGTGCTTGCACTGCAGTCTCCCTCCGTTCTGCAGGATGTGGTCTCTGAGGGCAGCAACTTGGGCTCATTCACCCCACGTCCCCTGATGAGACCTATGTCGTCGGGTTAAATGTATCCGCTGTGTGAATGAACCAGTGGAAGGGAGTAGAAGCCTGTCCCCTGCTTCTGTTGGGGGATGCCAATCAATAGATTGGGCCCTGTGGCCGCGCAGAAGCAATCTGATGAAAAAAAAAAAAAAAAAAAAAAAAAAAAAAACAGGTGTTGCAACCCTGTGTCAGTAGGCAAGGAGATCGATGGGGAAAGGATAGCTACCATTTATTGAGGTTTACTGTGCCAGGCACTTTACGTACATGATCTAGTTGCACAGTTCTTAGTTCCTCTAACTGCTTAGCTTCCTAATTTTGAAAGGGTGAAATTGATGCGGGATAAGAGACTTACCCAAGATCATGCAGTTAGTTTCTAAGTGTCGAAATTGACATTTGACCAAGCCCACTGACCCTAGAGCCTGTAATCGTTGGAGCTCTGTGATCTTTTTATTTTCCCTCATCAATGTGGATTCACTTATGAGGATGCTAACAAGTTTTGTTGTTGTTGTTGATTTTGAGACATAGTCTTGCTCTATAGTGCAGGCTGGCCTCAAACTCCCAGCAACCCTCCTGCCTCAGCCTCGAGAGTGTTGAGATTACAGGCGTGTGCAACTACACTAGGCTCTAACAGGTATTTTTATTAAATATACTTACAATATAGTATCATCCTTCTAGACTGGTACTAGTACTTTCTAATGGAATTGGCAGTGAAAACATGTTTTTTATTGAATCTTGAATGCAGGGCCTGCATACTGAGTTACAATCTCAGCTATTAATGATTTTTTTTAAATTTTGAGAGAATTACTTCTCTCAAAAGTTACTCTCTTAAGTTACCCAGACTGGGCTGGAACATGTCATTGCACCACAGCCTGCCAGAGTGCTGGGATAATGAGTGTGTGCCACCACATGCAGTTTACAAATGAAACCCTGCAGTAAAAGAAAGAATTCTGCCATAAACCTTTCTTGCCCTAGAAAAGAATCTGATAAACTCTTCTGTCTGTTCAGTGTGCGGTGCAGAAAATTATGTCAAGTGGGAAAACTCGAGGTGGTGTTAGGAGTAAGAATGGTGGCTTAATAAAATTCATCATGAACTTTTCCTTGTGCATAGACAACTTTAATTCTGGCTTTCCTGTTCCTCATTTCTAACCAGTCTCAGTGACCCTTAATTAGAGAGAGAAAAGAAATCAAATGACATAATTTGCTTTGATTTGTAATAAAATGCAGAGTGTACCCAAACTGGTTTGTGCGGGCCACACTGACAGTTGCAGTAGGGTGTGGCTGGAAGGCCGGGAGAAAATGTGCTGTACATGTTAGCAAAGTTAGGTAGTTCTCAAAAGTTTGTATACTTCACGTTGGCGCTGCACAGTTATGTGTTTCATTGGAAGTTTTGGCCAGTGACAGGCTACATATAGGTCAGGTGGCCCTGTATGATTATGTGTCATGACATTATAGCCTTAACTTGTGTGAGAATGTTCTGTAATGTTTACGTGGTCGTCTAACAACACATTTCTTAGAACATTATCCCACTCGGTAAACTATGTGTAATTATACTTTGTCCTAAAGTAGTTGAGGTCATAACTCAGAAAAATGATCCAATTTTGAAATTTAGTAAGAAGGAACTGAGAGGCTGCACGTTTTTTATTTTATTTGGATTTCTTGGTACAGTTTAGGTATGCATAATGGTCAGATTCATTATATGAATGACACTACATAAGTTTGTATTTGTACATGATATGTGTTGAGTCCTCTTTTTCCCCATTCCCCTCAAATCTCCTACCCTTCCCTGTTCACAAAGCTCGGTTTTCTGTTTATCCTTTTCTGATTTTTTCTTTCCCTTTCCATCTTCCTTGTTCCTTTTTCCTTTCGAACATTTTCTTCTTATTCCACAATATTTATTATACATTTTCTCACATCAGATAATGTGATATTTACATATCTGATTTAGTTCTGATTTAGTGTCTGGTTTAGTTCCCGTGATTATGGTCTCAAGGTCTCTCCATTTTGCTATTAATGTTTCAATTTTATCTTTATTTATTGCTGAATTAGTACCCTACTATATAAAAACTCTTTATCCATTCATTGGTGGACGGGCATTAAGGTAGGCTACAGATAGAGTATGGCTTAGAAATTCATATGTAGAAAAGATTGTGTTTGGGTGGTGGGAAGAAGGTGGTTTTCTTTAAAACACTATATCTTTTTAATGAAAAACAAAATTTCATAACATAGATAATGCACCACATATTGTTATTTTTAAAGTAGTTACTTGAGTACAAAATATGAACATAAAAAATTCTCCGATCGATATTAACACGAACCTTTTCAGTGAACTAAGCGACACTAGTGGTATGACTAATTTGCGTTTTTTTCTTTTCCCTTCCTTCCTTCCCCTAACTTCGTTCCTTTTTCCTTTTGAACAATTTCTTCCCATTTCACAATATCTATTGTACATTTTAGACCTCATTTATTCTTAGTTTCTCACACCAGGGAGACCATACAATGTCTACACTTGTGGGTCTTATTTATTTCACTTGTTTCATCCACTTACCTATAAAAGTCTCAAGTTCATCAGTCTTTATGGCTGAGTAAGTACTCCGTTGATTAAAAATACCAAATTCCTTGGTTAACAGGCATTTGGGGTGTTTCCAAGATTTAGCTGTTACAAATGGTGCTACTGTAAACATTTCTTTCTGGAGTGAGATGTATTCTCAGTGTTACTTCAATTTGCATTTCTCAAATAATTATATTCAATATTTTTCATATATTTGTTATTTGTATTTCTTCATCGGAGAAGTGCATATTCATATCACTTGAATTTGAGGGTGCCTGATTTTTTTCAATTCTTTGTATATTTTCAATATATGTCCTTTGAGGGAAACTTTGCTAATAGTTTTTCCCACTCTGTGTTTTCTTTTCACTCTGTTGGTGATTTCTTTTGATGTGCAAAAGCATTTTAATGTGAGATCCCAGTTGTTGATTCTTTGAAGTGTTTCCCGTGCAGTTTACGTTTTGTTCATGAATTCTCTGCCTACCCCTGTGTCTCCTAGACTTCTGCCTACCTTCTCTTCCAGTAGATTTAGTGTTTCTGTTTTTATATTTAGGTGTTTGATCTCTTTAGACTTTAGTTTTGTGCATGGTGATAGGCATGGATCTAGTTTCAGTCTTGGGCATGTGGAGAGCCAGTTTTTTCCAACACCATTCATTAAAGAGGCTATCCTTCCAGTGAACATGTTTAGCCCCTTTGTCAAATATCAGGTGGCTGAGTATCTTTGTAGTTGTGCTTGCATCTTCTAATCTGTTCCATTGATCCTCAGGTCTATTTCTTTGCCAGTACCATGCTGATTTTTACTGTGGCTTTGTATTATAGTTTCAAGTCAGGAATTGAGATACTTCCTGCCTTATCCAGAATTACCTTTGCTATTTGAGGTCTTTTCTCTTTCCTGAAGTATTTTAGGAATGTTTTCTCTGGATCTGTAAGGTATGCTAATGGTGTTTCTCTCTCTGTGAGTTTATTTGTGTACAGGGATGCTTCTGATTTTTTGATTATTGATTTTTATAAAATTTATACTACTAAATTTGTTTATTAAACCTAAAACGTTTCGATGACACTTTGAGGGTCTTTTATGTAAAATAGTCACAGCAATTCTTTTTTTTTTTTTTTGGTACCAGGGTTCAAACTCATGACCAGTCACTTGCACAGCAGGCACTTATGCCGCAAAGCTAAATCCCCAGCCCACCCATTTCTTTTGTTTATTTGGTATCAGTAATTAAATGCAGGATCTGCGCCAAATGCTATTTCTCGACTATACCGCTTGGGTCCGCTGTAATATGCTGCTTTGTGCAGAATGCCGCGCTTTGCTTTAGGCTTCTGTGAGGTGGTGTGGCTGGCGGTGGATGCATGGTTTCCTACCGCACCACTTTTGGCGGTATTATTGGCCGAAAGGAAAATTATATTGTTACAATTTATTCCGTGTTAACACGGGGAAGATTAGATCAACAGTATGTGTTTCTCTCTGCCATTGTAATTTTCTGTGTAAATACGTGAATGCGAAGGCTACAACCAAAAGCCGTGTGCAAGCGCCAGCGCTCTCGCTATGCCACTGCTTGGCGCGGCTGTGGATGGATTTTATTCTGTGGTCCATGGGTTCCGCCGCTGAAGCGGGGGCGTTTCCAAGTGTGTTTGGTTGTGACTGCTTTGGGTTGTTTTTTTTTTTTTTCATTTTTATCGGTACCGGGGATCAAACTCACGACCGCCTGCTTGCAAGGCAGGTGCTTGTGCCGCTGAGCTAAACCCCAAGCCCCGGTTGTGACTGCTTTGATGGACATTTGCCGGTCAAAATGACGTGGGCCTGGCGCTAGATGTCAGAGTGTTTCCTTGCATGCAGATGGATCACATGGTGTAAAATGACGTTTAGGATAATAAGTGGGCACATGCCAGGTCCCTGGAAGAAACCCTATAGTCACTGCTCCATGAAGGGAAGATTTTCTGGCCTGTTATTTGTGGGTGCTTGTAACTTTAGGGAAAAGATAAGGATTTGTATGAGGCGCCCGCGGACAACTGTTACTCTGTCTCTTTTTTTTTTTTTCAGAAATGAAAGTTCCCTGGCTTCAACTTTGAAAACACTTCTGTTTTTCACAGCGTTAATGATAACTGTGCCAATTGGCTTGTATTTCACAACCAAATCTTACGTCTTTGAAGGTAATCCTTGACCTATCAAAGCAATTGTTCGTTTATAAGAATTGTGTGCTTTTGTTACATGTAAAATTCTGCCTTTATAAAAGTGACACTGCATGCATTATCTCAGTAAATATTTCAGTATTTCAGTAAATTATAGACATACAGTATTTTAGTAAATTATTACAGCTTGTTTTGTTTGTAGATTTAAAAATATTTTTATTTTTAAGTTTCTTTGCATGTGAAAATTTGGAAAAGTTAAATTAGGTACAAATGAATATGTTAAATGATTTGCTTGATATTAACAGTCACCTACTCATATCTTTTAATGTGTTGGATTTACTACCATGCAAAATTGTTATTTTGTTTGACTATTATTGTTAGGCTTTGTTTATGGAATAAAGTGAAAATTTATCTTTTCTTCTGATAGGTGCCCTTGGAATGTCCAATAGGGACAGCTATTTTTATGCTGCTATTGTTGCCGTGGTTGCTGTTCATGTGGTTCTGGCGCTTTTTGTGTATGTGGCTTGGAATGAAGGCTCACGACAATGGCGAGAAGGAAAGCAAGATTAATGCGACATCGCCTTTTCATAGCATTAAACTGATTTTTAAAAACATGGTAAATGTTTTTGTGGGCATTGATAATGAAAACATTTTATTTTAATAAAGTTGCACGTTAAAATCAGTCAGACTGCATCACATTTGACCGGTGTAAGTTTTGACCCACCTTATACAGTGGTTTTTTAGTCAATTTTAACTTTAAGCCCTTTTTTTGCATATGGCAATTTAGAAAAGTTTGTGTTTATTAAATGAGTCACATGTTACTGTGGGAAGAATTTGATTGGCTGACAGTGAAATGTCTTCTTGCAGTTTGTCTTTTAGGTGCTTTTCAGTTTTAGGCCTCTGGATATATTGCCATGCACTTAGTGAGCAAACCGGAACCTCATGTTAAGCTGCAACGCTTTCCCTGTTAGGAAGATGCCAGGTCCTAGCATTTGGATTCTAATTTTGCCTGAAAAGTTGTTGGAACTGTAGGCCCTGGAGTTAATCTTAAGGTCACTGACGACTTGCACATAAAGTGTATGAATTCTGATTATATTAGCTACAGGGAAAACTAGTGACAAGACTGCCTCACTGCAGGCTCAAGAAAGCAAAGAGAAGCTGATGGCCCCTTGTGTGCTTCTGAGATGTCCTTGGCTCCCTCATTGAAATTCCATTTCAACCGTCTTCCTTACTGCTTTTTTTTAAGTTGCAGGTTATGTGACAGGAATTTTCATTAAAAATGTTAGACTTTTTGCATATATTAAGAGTATAAACAATCCTGAAACATCCTCTACAAAATATTCTTGCATTGCTAGTCTTTTGTAATTGGAGATATTAAAACGTTAAGGTATATCCTATATGTATAGGTTCATAGCTGATATTCCTCGAGGTCCTTTTTGGTGGGAAGCTCCCAAACCTTATCGTTTTCCTTTAGGACCTTTTGTCTGTGTTCTTTATAGCCGCTAGGTATTTTTTGTGTACTTATTGAAAACATTGTCCCGCAAATGTTTTTTGTTTTTGTTTTGTTTTTTTTTTATTATAAACCCATAGTATGTGTTCTCTGCAAAAAACTGGAAAATACATATTCAAAAAGAAATAAACTATTTTTACATTTGTCGGTATGCACTAAAATTTTATTGTCAGTTTAAATCCTGCCATCTTAACCTGACAGCTGTTTGCCTTTTTATTTCAGAACAGTGATTATTGGCCATTTTCTTAAAAAGCACACTCTATTTTGTTCTTGTAAAATTCAAATTTTCAATATTTTCTCATAAATAATACATGAGGAAAGAGATATGTGTAACTTAATTCAAACATTATGTGATATATACATAGCAATACCATCTGTACCCTAATGAACCTGCATAATTTTTATGTTTTTATGTGTGTTAAAATCAATTTCCTGTTACTGATAGTCTTAATATTAACAGCCCTTGCTTAAGTGTTCACCATTACTAAATTTGTCTATTGTTACTATTTTTTATTTTGTGGACTTTATTAGGTATAAGTCAAGTGTCTATGTTTAATTTTTCAGAAAAATAAGACATCTGTGTGATGATTATAGTACTATTCTTAATTCTTAAATGCTGTCTGTGGTTTAAATGACGAGGCATGTATTCCAAATGTAAAGCTATTTTTGGTAAAAGTCACAATTTGAGGGAAGTAATATTTGAATTGAGGTTGCTGTGTGGTAGATTTCTAGGTAGCTCCTTTATTAGATGACCTGTTGTTTTTAAATTATCCCATGTAATTTCTTTTTGTATCATGCCAAAGTTTTCCTTGTACTTTTGGTATCTAAATGCTATTTTTAAAATATAATATTCAAGATTGGATCATTGTTTTCAGGCATTTGCCGAGTGGATACATTTTTCTGCAAGTGTTTAAATCAGGGATATGTGCAGACACATAATTGTTTCCTTGGGAAAACTACCAAGTTGCTGAAAGTGAAAATCAGATTGTAGGGTTGGTATTTAGGGTTATTACAAAATAGGCTTGCTTTCAAAGCAGTTTTTCCTGTGGTTGGAAGTGTTCACTCACTAGTGTGCTGCTGTTAATTATGTTAACATACGGTTTTGACAAATAGGTTTGTTTTTTAAGACATCTCACTGGCTTCTCCTTGCACAATGTATATACTTTAAGGTGTGTAGAAAGGACAGCTACAGATGGATGAGCCCTTCTACATGTTTTAAGATGCAAATACCTTCCCTGCTGTTCGGAAATTGTTTTGTGACGGTGACCTCAGTTAGGAAATGTGACTTGAAGTGGCAGTCCAAGCTACTGATTTATCCTCACTGACTGTTTCAGCGCCTTCCTCACCTCCTTGTTTGTCTTCCACACGGTAGTCCTTTTTTCCTACTGTACGGAAAATTTGAAAGTCTGTGCAGTGCCTCTGATGCCAGGAGCTCTTTAAATGGACATCGTGGTATACGCAACATTAGAATTTGGTTTTGAGCTCTTAGTGAAAATTTTGAAATCCGCTATTAAACAGAAGTGCTCCACAAGAATCTCACAGAAGTCCCTCATAATGATTAGAACGTTTTCATCATCCTAATTTCATTGGCTTTGCCAGAAGCAACTGATTGACTTGTGTTCATTTTCCATTTTGTATTGATACTACATGTAAAGGAGACAGATAAAAAGTTAAGGTGTACCTGGGAGAAAGCCTAAACCTGAAACAAAGGATTTAAACCCAAGGATTTATCCTTGTTTTCCATGTATCTAGTGTGTCTTGTCACCAGACAAGTTTATGAGTATTGTTTAATTTATTCCCAAGTGAAGTTGTAGACTATTATCAAGTTCATTTGATAAATGCTTTAAAATTTGTCACTTGATTTAGGTCAGTGGCAGGTTTCTTTGCTGTGAGTATTCCTGACAGGTAACCCATCAGTGTAGTACAACTGTTAGTTTAGATTCTACTTTCATGTTTAAGATCATTTTTGCAAGAGCTAGACCGGAGTGCACATTAGTAACTTGATGAGACTTCTTTTTTCCTTTGCAGGGGGAGTCTCCTTAAAAACATATTTTCAGGGACTTTGGGAACCTAACCATACTATTACACATAATGTCTGAATAGCTTCATCCTTTCGATACTCTGTAAAGTAGTCCAGAATTCCTTGCCTGTGTTATTGCTGCGTGTACTTGGAAGAAAACCACCTGTGTTTATTTCTGAATGTCCTGTAAGTCACTTTGGTCAGTTATGCAGTCTTCCTTTTGCCGTGTTTAGTGCTCTCTCACTTAACAGGAATAATAGCAATAGCTAACAACATCTGCACAGCACCTTAACAGTTTGCCTAGAACATTCATACATTCATTCTCCTTCGAGTTTTCCTGATGAGCCTGTCCTGAGATGCCTCTGGATGTCATGCTAAGAGTCTTTAGAACCCTCAGTCATTGGCTTTGCCAGCTCTGCTGATGTATCCCGGAGGCCCTGACTGGGGGGAGGATGTCCCTGAGCTATGCTTTGCTTCCAGCTGTGTGGTGTTGGATTATCACCATGAAGGCCATGAGTGCTTTAGCCACTGGAATCAAATTTATTTTGTAAGTGATGCTTTTCTAACCTTTGTCTTGATAGATTTTGTACTTACCCTATTTGAGCCTGTAATTTGGAGGAACTGACCGTCTGTTGTCATTAAAAAAATGTCCATAATACCACTTTGATGTGTCCTGATTCAATTAATACTTGTATTAACTTCTGCTTTTTAAGATTGTATTTGTTTGCTGGTGGGACATGGAGACTGTGTCCAGAGGCTGGGTTTTAAATGTGTTAGTTGCCTCATTGTGCCATGAAGACTGAGTACAGAACCATCAGAGATAAGCTCGGGGGCAGTACATATGCACCAGAGACACTCAGCCTGGCTGAGGTGTGGGGGTGCTGACATGGTGTGGATCCGTGAGAACTGGTGTGACAGTTGGGGAAAAAAGCTTACCCCATAGTTCATTTAAAATTCACTTGAGGGCAGATAGGCCTCAGATACCATTAAAGGAGTAAATAAGGCTGAGAAGTACTTGTGACTAATTAACTAGGAGAAAACGTTCATGGATATGCCCAGCATGTCACCCCTTAGGACCATTGCCCTGTGTTCTCTAGTCCTCTGGGTCACATTCCGACTCCTTCGTGTGCTTCCCAGGGCTCCATCTAATTCTAAGAAACACCATTGCCTTTCAGGTAGCATTTGAGACAGCTTAGTTTCAAAGACACAGCTAATGAGCTGTCCGGGGAATTTAGGACAGGTAATGAATGACATTTCAGATGCAAGGGTGTTTCTTGGTGACTAGAATCACTTTGTGGGACGGTAAAAATGAGTCGTGCCGATCCTAACCTAGACCTGACACAACCTCTGTGGGCAGGGCCTGCAGGGACAGTGGTCCTGCCTGGCCGATGGAGAACCACTGCTGGAGTCTCCGAGTTGTGCCTGTAAGTGTCTGTCTTTAGTGCTGGACTTGGAGATGTCATAGGAAGGCTGAGACAGAGTCTCACTTCACCAGGCAAAACTGGAATCCTGTGGAACGCCGCACTGAAGCCACAGTGTAATTTTCCCCAGTATGTGTTTGCAATACATAATGATGACATTCCGAGTGGGAGTCGGCACGTGTACATAACACATCTCAGGGCTTTTTCATCCCTTTTCCGTCCTCTCCTCCCTGCTCCCTCCATCTCTTGGTCCCCTTCCCTTTTGCAAAATATCGGTATCCCTGCTCCCTTTTATCTTTCATTTTGTTCTTCAGTTTATATTTTGGCTTTCTCATAGAAGAGAAATGCTATTTAAGCTTGTGAGGAAGAGTGTAAAGTCAGGAGACCTGCACTGCCTCCCTGACGACCTGCATTGACTTCGTTTCACACTTAATGAGTTACACTGAATGCAAATTGCAGCACATGGAAGCACCACCTTAGAAATGACCGCCATGTGCATAGAAACGGCCACTGCTGCTCCTGTGATGCTGTCCCCTTCTTTGGAGCCCTACTCCAGAGAGACGGAAAACCCAACAGGATCTCAGGTGAATCTGTGGCTTTCAAAGGAAGAGAAGCAATGGGGAAAACCAGAAATGGCTTGCTAGGTGGCGTGTTCTGCAGATAGTGGCAGGCCCCGGGCTTGATTCCCAGCACCATGAAAACACAGCTGTGCTGGCCCCTGATGCCTCTCCTGCTGCTTACGTCTCCGCATGTTGCACACTCGTCCCACTGTTTCCCTGGCACGTGTGCGTCTGGGTCAGCCCTTCAAGAAGGCAGGACCAAGGAGGAGAATGGCTTTCACACCCCGTCCTGTGGCTCTCACCTGGGGCCACGCCAGGCGTGTGCTTCGTCCAGAGCTTGTAACCAGTCTCTGCTGCTCTCACACTTTCGGTCATGTTGCAGCCTGGCAGCCAGAAAGCTCCTTTCAAACAGTAATCAAATATGCTGTGCTTCTGCTCAGCATCCTCTGATAGCTCCTGCCTCACTCAGAGGAAGTTCAGATGCCATGCACAGCCCAGCAGCCAGGCTAGTTACCTGCCTGGCATTTGGCACCCCATGGCTCAACAATCACCGGCCTGCTGTTGACTCTTGCCTCTGCCCGGCGCCCTGTTTCCCAGATCACCCATGGCTGGCTCTTTATCCCCGTTCAGGTCTTACTGCTCCTGCCATCTCCTCAGAAAGGCCTTCCTTGATGGTCTGACATGTATGTCTGCTATCACAATAGATCGTCTGCACATGGGAAGGGGTCCAAGCGATGCAGCAAGGGGAGGGGAAGGGGACGTGAAAAGGAGGGGGAGGATATCAGCCTGCCCACCCCCAAGAGGAATGTAATCACTGCATTACTGCAAACATGCACCAACACAAACAAAATTCAGATTACAAACTTCTCCATGTAGGGCTGGGTACAATTCCCTTGTTTATTATGTACCACCTTCTACTAAAACGCAAGCATGGCAGGATGGGCACTTCGTCTTTTGCACCACTGAATTCTCAGTGCCTATCACTGTTCTTGGTAAGGTCATTTTTGATCCATTGCAAATAGCAGGAAATGCCACTTAACCTGGCTTAAATAACAGAAAAGGCCAGGAGTGAGGTGGATTAGGGTACACGGTTTAATTAGGGTTCTTACTCCGCTGGTGCTGCTTTCTGTACTTCCTCACTGTGCTGGCAGCCCCGCTGGGCTTGACTCCTTCCTGATGACAAAGTGGCTGCAGGGCACCAAGCAGCGTCCCACAGACATTTTCCCAACTTCTGAAAAAGCCCCTTGGGCTTTCCTTGGGACAAATTCTAGCCATGTGTCCCCTGTGAAACAATCATGTAAACCAGACGGTGTCATGCACTGGTGGGTCTATGCCTGGCTGAGTGTAGGTCCAGAGCCATCACTTGGGGATTATTCTGGTTCATTTAGGCCTAATTTTGTCAGTTCTGGCTCAGGAAGAATACAATACTGGGGGCCGGGGATTTAGCTCACTGGCATAAACACCTGCCTGGCAAGTGTGAAGTCGAAGCCGTGCATGTGTTTGATCCCCAGTACTGAAAACAAAAGAAAGAAGAATACAATGTTGGGGCATCACTGTGGCTCTCTGCTCCCCGAACGGAGCACTCTGAAGCCCTAAAACACACTGCTTTCTCGACCAGACCGCGCCACTGGACCTTTGTCCTCCCACCACAGTGGCCGTGGTTCTTTGCACGGTGGCAAGGCAGCGGCAGAGCTGCATGTGCTCGTTGGGCTAGGGCTCCGGTGTCCGTGTTTGCCCATCAGCCAAGCTGCATTGCAGTCGCAGTTGTGAGCGCTCCACCACGGTCCACTCCGGCCCCACTAGAGCCCTTCCGCACGCTCTGCTGCTGCTGTTCTGCAAGGAGCGGCGACGTTCTCAGGGTTAGCTTTGCCCGTTCACAGCGCAGAAACGGAAAGGAGGGCGGAAAGCGCAGCAGGTGTCCTCAGCGAGGCGGAAGCCATAGAAACGGGGAGTGTAAAGGAAAATGTATGTGGCTGTAAAAATACAATAGAAAATGGAAATGTTTAAGAACTGTGAAAAACGAAGTCTGTTTGCATTTTTTAAGATTTCATTTCTTTCCTACATCTTGGATGTAGGGCAGGAAATCATGCTTTTAATTTGTTTTGTCTTTCTAGTACAGTCATCTGTCCATATCCAGGGCTTTCTACTGATAACAAAATCCACGGGTGCGCACGGAACATCCGCTCTGCGTGGGACCTGTGTCTTTCCTTCCATGTGCTTTAAGCCATCTCTAGACTACTTATGACACCTCATCAAATAGAAACACTATGTGAACAGTTGTTATGCTGCCTTGTTTAGGAAACAACGACAAGGAAAAGAGTCCTGACGTACATGTAAGAGATGACGTTTCTGCTGTTGTGAGCCAGTTTTACCTGCTATGTCTTCCACAGGAAACTAATATAGAGCCTTAAATGTGGAAGACTGAAGATCAGGTGGACAGAAGAGGGCTGTGACAGAAGGACTTCCCCTGCCACCCCTTTCTCGGCCAGTGGAGGGGAGACAGCTCCAGGGCAGGGAATGAGGCGTCCTCTAGAAGCTGGAACCCTATTAATGCAGTTCTCTGGGTAGATCACTGGCTGCTTAAAACACGGCTGACAATGACACACAGGGGGACTTCATGTGAGGGTCCTCAGCAGACCTGTCCCACCCCGATATCTGTCCAGGTGAATGCTAAAGTCTGTGCATTGCCGTGCAGGTAGGCATGGTGCCATTTTTCTCTCACTCTGTTTTCATTATGATTATGCAGCATAGTTTTGAGTATTTAGTGAGATCTCTCTGTACCAAGTAACAACTTCGTATACGTTTTAAAGAAGGGTTAGTGTACTTCCTGAGACTGTCAGACTCTTATGAGCTCCCAATAGGCTATGTTGTACTTTCTCTTTCAAAATCTTTGCCCTGTAAATGATTCTAGAAAAAACCTACAGCAACACACACACACACACACACACACACACACACACACACACACTCCACTTTATTTATTAGAAGACATTAAAGTTTGCAGCAAAATCCAGCTGACAGTATAAGTGGTTCCCACCCATTGCCTTCACCGCAGCCTCACCGACCATCAGTGTGAACCTGCAGCCATGGCCGACATCGAGGTTCACTCTCTGTGTTGTAGATTCTATGAATTTTGAAAAATGTGTAGTGGCATGCTTCTACCTTTGTTACCACACAGGAGAATTTCTCTGCCCTAAATACCTGTGCTCTGCCTGTTCATTCCTCCTTCCACATCCCTACGAATGACTGATCTTTCTATCTCTGGACAAGGCCTGTAGTCACTTCCTTTTCCAGAATGTCACACATTTGGACTCTTACAGTATGTATGTGGCCTTTCAGAGTGGTTCTCTCACCAGTAACATGCAGTTGACTTCCTCCATGTCTCTTTGTGGCTTGATAACTCATTTCATTTTATCGCTGAACAGTGTCCCACTCTGGTTGTAACACAGTTAAGCCATTCACTTATGGAAAGACATCTCTCTGGCTTCTGTGGCTTGGTCATTATGAAGAAAGCTGGTAGAAAATTCATGTTCAGTGTCTTTTGGGGTCATGTTTTTCATCCCATTTGAACGAAGGAACAAGACTGCTGGAATTATAGTAAGAATCCATTTAGTTTTGCAAGTAACTACTAAACTGTCTTCCAAAGCGGCAGCACCATTTTGAAGGAGCCACAAGTGACA